CTGCTGAGCATGGTGGGGCGCACCTATATTCCCAGCACGTGGGAGGCAGACCCAGGAAAATCAGGAGCACAAGGTCAGCCAGCATGAGCTACACAGAGAGTCTCTGTCAAAAGGAAGGAAGGAAGGAAGAAGTGGGAGGGAGAGAAAGAAAAGGGAGGAAACAAAGGAAAGGAAAATGGAGGGATGGAGGGAGAGGAGCAAGACTGTGACTTCCAGTTTTATGGGAGGAACAGGGATAAACACTGTGTTCATCCCAGGAAAACCAGAAAAGAAGCACTTGGTCCGGTTTTCTGGAAGAAGTCAGGCCAGAAACCGGAAAAGGGCTAAAACCAGCCAGAGAGAGGGGACAGCTGCAGCTGTGGTTATTCAAATGCTGGGGAGGGGGAGCCAGATCACAGATGACCTCCTCTTCAGGCTGTGTGGAGGGGCTTCAGTGTTTGTAGCTGGCGAAGGGGAGCATGTAAAGAAAGGGGTTTTTGTTTGTTTAGAGTCTCTGTTAGCGTACAGCCAGCATACAACTGCTGGGCCATCTCTTCCACCCTAAATGCAAAGGCTTTATATTTATTTATTTATTTATTTATTTATTTATTTATTTATTTATTTAGGGTTTTTGAGACAGTGTTTCTCTGTAGCTTTGGAGCCTATCCTGGAAGTCGCTTTGTAGAACAGGCTGGACTCAAACTCATAAAGATAACACCTGCCTCTGCCTCTGCCTCTGCCTCTGCCTCTGCCTCTGCCTCTGCCTCTGCCTCCTGAGTACTGGGATTAAAGTCCTGTGTCACCACCTCCCAGCCAGGCCAAAGGCTTTGCTTTATTAGATTTCTTTTTCCTGATGTATTATTATGTAGCCCTGGCTGTCCTGGAACTCTCTATGCAGACCAGGCTGGCCTTAGACTCACAGAGATCGACCTGCCTCTGCCTTCTAAGTGCTGGGATTAAAGTTATGTGCCACCATACTCAACTGCAAAGGTTTTATTTCTAAGTTTTTTTTTGGGGGGGGGGGTTGAGACAGGGTTTCTCTGTGGCTTTGGAAGCTGTCCTGGAACTAGCTCTTGTAGACCAGGCTGGACTCTGAACTCACAGAGATCTGCCTGCCTCTGCCTCACAAGTGCTGGGGATTAAAGAAAAGCATGCACCACCACCACCCAGTGCCTAATTTTCATTTTTTTTATTTGCAGTGCTGAGGGTTGAACTCTAATCTCCACAAATGCTCAGCAAGTGCTCCACCGTCAAGCTTTCATTCTCACTCCACTTTTTAACTTAAAGAAAAATGTTTATTTATTATAGTGCTCATGTGTGAATCCTGCATGAAGTCCAGAGGGCTTGAATCCTCTAGAACTCAAGTTACAAGTGGTTCTCTCTCTCTCTCTCTCTCTCTCTCTCTCTCTCTCTCTCTCAGTTGTGAGCTATCTCTCTCTCTGTCTCTCTGTCTCTGTCTCATTTTGGTAATGGTTTTTCAAGACAGGGTTTCTCTCAGTAACTCTGGCTGTTCTGGAACTCGCTCTGTAGACCAGGCTGGCCACAAAATCACAGAAAATCCACCTGCCTTTGCCTCCCAAGTGCTGGGATTAAAGGAGTGAGCCACCGAAGCACTTCTACTGAAACCACCACTTGTCTCTTAACTACTGAGCCGTCTTTCCAGCCCCACTACTCCTTTTCTCCCTTCAATGCTGGAGATCAAATTTAGGACCTTGGGAAGGTTTATCTCAAAGTGTGCCATAAAGAGAGTTGCCTTTCAGAAAGATCATTAGAGCTGTGTAGCAAAGGAGAAGGTACTGAAAAAGGGACTGAAATCAAGGAAACTCATTTGGGGCTTATTTAGGTGGTTATTTCATTATGAGTGGCAGTAGGCAAAGGGTCAATAGTGAGGCCTGTTGTGTATGACTTTAATCCCAGCACTCAGGAGACAGAGGCAGGCAGATCTCTGTGTGTTTGAGGTCAGCCTGGTCTGCAAAACAAGTTTTCCAGGACAGCCAGGATTGTTACACAGAGAAGTCCTGTCTTTAAAATCAGAGGGAGAGAGGGAGAGAGAGGAAGGGAGGTTGAGAGACTAGACTTGTGAATGATTTAGGCGGTGACTCAACAGCTGCCACATTGATGTTTGTCAATGATTGGGGACAGGGAGCTTCAAGGTGCAGGTGGCAAGGGTAATACATGAGTTTCCAGCTAGGATATCTTGGGAAGTGCAGGAGAAGCCCAAGGAGCCATGGGAGAAGTGTCTAGTGGCTTGTGGAGTTTGATTTCAGGGTATCAGAAACTCCACAAGGAGCTGCCGAGAGGCAGCTGCAGGGGTGGTGGTGGAGCTCAAAGCGAGAGTTGTGATGTCATCAACCTCAACCTCAGCCAAACCAAAAACAAAGCAAAACTACTTTCCGAGACCTACCTTTTCTTGCACTGATTTTACCTGTTGGTATTTTCCAAAGACCCCATCTTCTCTTTCCTTCCTCCCCCGAGTGTGGCAGGGGCTGACTGTATCACAGTCATCTTCATCTCTGGAGTCAGCTGAGATTGCAGGTGTGTGTTATCAGGCCTGCTATATGGTTTTTCTTATTTGAAGGCCTCACAGAGATCCACCTGTCATCTGCTGGTCCCTGCCTCAAGTGCTGGCATTAAAGGTGTGTATTATCTAGTCCAAGAGATTTTTTTTAACATTTATTTTAATTATTTAAAATTTCGTGTGTGTGTGTGTGTGTGTGTGTGTGTGTGTGTGTGTAGGTATGTGTGTGTGAGTACAGGTGCTCTAGGAGACCCCCAGAGTTTTAACAAAAGCTTCCTAAGGGCCCATTTCCCCCAGGGTGTGGGAGCCCTGGCTAGCAACATCAACTTCTGATACACCAGGGAACCAGTTAGCAAGTCATCATTATGGTGTCATCCCTGGTGTCCTAACAGCCTGGGAACAGCTCTGTGCTCCCTTTGCAACCCTAACCTTTGAGAAGACAGTTCACACTGGAGCACATTTGCTTTGCTGGAAATGCTAGAGAAATAGTAACACCCCAAATATGCTACATGGGAGGTTCCTAGTTACACTTGAGCTGTATTGATATATTCCTTTAACTTCCTTTCCAGACACCGAAGGTGCAGAACTGGTGGAGGGCTCTGCTTGTTCTAGAACTGAGGACTGAACTCGGAGCCTCCCATGTGCTAGATACCTACCTACTCCACTACTGATAACATTCTCAGCAGTCCCCACGCCTTTTTAAATTTAAATTATGTTTATGTGTATGATAAGTGTTTTTGCTTTATGTATATTCGTCCACCACAAAACCAGAGAAGTCACACGAGAGCATCCGATCCCTAGGGCAGGAGTTCTAAACAGTTTTGAGTTGTCATGGGGTGCTAGGAATTGAATCCAGGTAGATGTTCTACAAGAGCAGCAGGTGCTCTTACCACCAAACTGTCATTGAACTATCATCAATGCTGTCCAGCCTCGTTCCAAAGCCCTGGTCTCAAATGATTCTCAGCCGGGCAGTGGAGGCGCACACCTTTAAATCCCAACACTCTGGAGGCAGATGCAGGCGGATCTCTTAAGTTTGAGGCCAGGCTGGTTGGTCTACAGAGTGAGTTCCAGGGCAGCCTGAAACCATCCAAAAATAAAATTAATAATTTTGCATACACACACATGAGAGTTCTGCCTGCGTGTATGTGTGTGTGTACCATTCCTGTGTCTGGTGTCCACAAAGGTCAGAAAAGGGTCTTCGAACCTGGTCCTTTCCAAAAGCAAGAACTGCTCTTAAATGCTGAGCCACCTCTTCAGCCCCTGCTCTTGTCTTGAATCACAAGCTCTGACTGTTTCTGAGATGGTCTGATTGTTTTGCTATTTTTTTCAGGGGCAGGGTTTGAGACAGGGTTTCTCTGTGTAGCCCTAGCTTTCCTGCAACTCACTCTGTAGACCCTGGCCTCCAATCCTCTTGAGTGCTGGGATTAAAGGCTTGCACCACCACCGACTGTTTTGTTATTTGTTTGTTTAGTAACCTATTGGGATGGGGGAAGCACAAGCCAATTACATGGCAGGTGGTCAGGACAACTTCCAGGAGTTTTCTCTGTCAATAGGAGTTGAACTCAGTCATCAAACAGGCTTCTACTGAAAGCACCTTTACCCACTGAGCCATCTCACTAGCCATTTTAGTTGTTTTCCTTGTTTGTGTGGAGACAGGACGCTGGTCTCAAACTCAAGAGATTCCTCTGACTCTGCCTCCTGAGCACTGGGATTTAAAAAAAAAAGTTTGCCGCCTTTAATCCCAGCACTCGGGAGGCAGAGGCAGGCGGATCTCTGTGAGTTGGAGGCCAGCCTGGTCTCCAGAGTAAGTGCCAGGATAGGCTCCAAAGCTCCACAGAGAAGCCCTGTCTCAGGAAAAAAAAAAAAAAAAGTTTGCACCATTATGCCTGGCTCTTGTTGTGTTTCCAGGAACTCTCTCTCTCTTTTTTAAGGAAGATTTCTTCATTTTATGTACATGAGTGCTCTAGTTACATGTACACCTTTGTGCCAGAAGAGGGCATCAGATCCCACTCTAGATGGTTGTGAGCCACCATGTGGTTGCTGGGAATTGAACTCAGGAACTGTGGAAGAGTAAATAGCCAGTGCTCTTAACCACTGAGCCATCTCTCCAGTCCCCAGAAACTCTCTTTTTAAAACAAACACTGTAACTTTTCCTTTTGGATGTGTTTTCTTTTTTCTTGCAAAGCTAATGAGATATTCATACCCAATACTTCCACATTGCTTTTCCACTGGCCCATGCCCTTAGAAACTATCCAGGCTTTCACACTGACTAGATGAGATGTAGCATACTCAGAGTTCAAGACACACTGTATCCACAATTCCTACAGGACAGCCTAAGCAAAGTACCTGTAAAACTTAGGCACAAAGCATAAATGTAAAAGTGATCATGTCCAGGTTTTTTGGTTTTTTTTTGTTTGTTTGTTTGTTTTGTTTTTGTGCCCAGGTTTTAATAAACCCAGTAAGTGATATCAACCTGTTTGAGATTACCAAAGTAACTGAGTTGTTTTGATTTTAAAAATTATACCTTTAATTATAGAATGTTGTTAGGATAATACAGCTATAGACAAGACAATAGAGTAATTGACCAATACCAAGGGAATCTGCTCTACACATTTACTTGTTCCTCCACTCTCCATGACCGTAAACACAGGCACAGAGTGTCTGGGCATGTGCAGAAAGAGCCAGGGACCTGCAAATAGAAGGCATGCAAATAGCTTTAGTGAAGTGTGGCAGGCCACGCCTCCACACAGTTCAGCACAGGAAGTGGACAGCAGTTGATCGTAGGAGAGGGGGCAGAGCTGGCATGGCCACCCAGCTGGAGTGTACATGTGTGGAGAGATTGGAAGGCAATCGGAAACCTTTCCCAGGCTTTATCTCCTAGAAGACAAAAGCATCAAATGGGACACTAGCATAACCTTTAAAGGAAGGCTGGAGGGGGTGCAGGGGGGAAGGGGGCAGGGTAAGCATAGGGGAGGGGAAGGGGGTGAAATGAAGATGGGTCGGAGGTGCTGTCTTCTACAAGCTACTCCCAAGCAGTCACTTACAGTGACTTAAAGAAGCAACAGGAGAATGCTGAAATCCACCCAAGTCATTGGCTACACTGATATAGACAACATATTTGAGTTTAGTTACCAAGAATATGTAAGTCACCTAACAGTTAAAATATGAATATTCATGGTAAGCTACATTTTGTACAGATAGAAACCATGTGCTCTGCTCCAAGTTCGTACTCAAATGGAGTGACCACTTCAAGGCCCTAGGAGTGGTTTTTCACTGGGTTGCTTTTGAGGTTGTCACTGGTGAGTGACTGGTATCACCCAGCTGTGCTTACAGTGACTCTGTGGTAAAAGCGATACTCCTGAAATGCCAAAACCCAAAGAATTTCAACAAAAAGGGTTTTCTTCTTTTTTGTTGTTTTTCAAGACAACAAGCTCTTTATGTAGCCCTGGTTGTCCTGGAACTCCCTCTGTAGACCAGGCTGGCCTTGAACTCACAGAGCTCTGCCAGCCTCTGCCTCCTGAGTACTGGGATTAAAGGCATGTGCCACCCTTACTTGTTCCCCCATACCCCCTGGAAAAAAAAGTTCTCTTAAAAAAAAAGTTAACGTTTGCAACTTTGCACTAAGCACCATAGAAACACACTGGGCACCGGTTCCCTTCCATCCCCACGGGACTGGATAAGCACCAATATCCGGGCTATCTCAATGGGCTGAGAGAAGGAGAACTGAGGTACACTGGGTCAACTCTCGTTTTAACTATTTGTATCTGGAGGCTGGAAACACATTCCTCTTTTAGGTTTATTCATTTCTTCTGATGAGGCCAAAGAGGTTTTCATCACAGGAGAAGATAACTCAGTCTGAGAAAGGACAATGGACCTAACTGTCCAGTCATTATCTCACAACTGATGGAAACATACAAACAAGAGTTTGGTTCTGTCCAAGACAAAACCTTACAGGACAGTGCAGGCTTGAGCACTAGTGTAAAATTTTTTTCCCATAACAAAAGAAAAATAAAGGACATTTCTCACAACAGAGTTATGTCTACAGTTCTATCTTAGGATCTACACCCCATAAGAACATGCTAATGCTTATGAATTCGGTTTCTACTATTAGAATACACATTTCACTGTACATACACATGCCTTTATGCAAGCTAAGATAAAGACTGGGGTGTGGCCCTATCAAACCCTAGAGTTAGCAGTACAGGGGCAAGTGATCTTAAAGATAGATGGCAAAGAACCCAGAAATGACTGACACTCCCTGGGAAGGGTTCTGTGCCCCCTTCCCTGAAGGGGTCAGTTCGCTTCCTACTTTCATTCCATCATAACTTACAGTCCTATCTTTTCCTAAAGGCAGTTTCCACACTATGATCCCTAAAGTGATTTTTGAAAAAATACATAAACCTGATTAATGACAGCATCAATGGGTATCTATCTATCTCTTGCCAAGGTCACCACCATCCATGGGCCCTTGGTCCTTAATTAACCCTGCACCTCCTTTTCCCTTTCACACTGTATCTTCCGGCAGCTTTCAAACAAGCGAGAAAAAGGAGAAATGATGAGATGGCTGCCTTCAGTGTGCAGGATCCTGTGTCGAGAAGATGGCAAGACACAGATACGAGCTCCTCAAGGAGAAAGCGCTTTGGAAGTGCAGTGTGTGGACAATGACAACTCAGGACAAGTCTGCCTGCCCTCTGCCAATGCAGCCGCGGCCACCCTGTTTCAGTGCTGCATTCCCACTGCAGTCTTTTGGGACCAGAGATCCAAAAGAGAAACACTCTTTAAAGATCTACTCCATCTCCAGGCCTAAGCATCCGCCAGCATCTCATCCTCTAGTCTTGAGCTTTCAAGTTACTTGGGATGGGGGCTGATTTTGATGAAACAATTAATATAATAATCAGTGAATAAAAATAACTATGGGGGGGATAACATCCCCAAAGCTGTGGGTGGGGATTTCAAAAGGGTTGTCTTCTTCTGTGTCTTCACTGTGGCCCACAACAAGGAAAGTCGGTCTTAAGAAGGCTCACTGTCATCAGATACGACTGTACCTTCAAATGAATCGTTTCTTACACGGGATCACTGGACTTAGTCCGTATGGACTCTCTTGTGTTTAATAAGAGCTGAGCTCCGGCTGAAGCTCTTATCACACTCGGTACATTCGTAAGGCTTCTCTCCCGTGTGAACTCTCTGATGTGTGATGAGGTTGGAGCTTTGCGTAAACCCCTTTCCGCACTGCACACACTCATAGGGCTTTTCCCCCGTGTGGGTTCTCTGGTGCTTAATCAGATCTGACCTCTCCCCAAAGCTTCGCCAACACTCGTTACACTCGTAGGGCTTCTCGCCGGTGTGAATCTTCTGGTGTGTGATAAGATGGGAGCTCCGGCTGAAGCTTTTCCCACAGGCGGTGCACTCATACGGCTTCTCTCCCGTGTGAGTCCTCTGGTGCTGAACCAAGTGTGAGATGCGGCTGAAGTTTTCCCCACATTCGTTACAGTGGTACGGTTTCTCCCCGGTGTGGGCCCTGCGGTGCCGCACCAGGTCAGAGTTCTGACTGAAGTGCTTCCCGCACTCCTCGCACTTGTAGGGCCTCTCTCCCGTGTGGACGCGGTAGTGTTTGATGAGGTCGGACCTCTCGCTGAAGCCGCGCCCGCACTCATTGCACTCGTACGGCTTCTCACCCGTGTGAGTCCGCTGGTGCTGCGCCAGGTGGGAGCTCCGGCTGAAGCTCTTCCCGCACTCCTCGCACTCGTACGGCTTCTCCCCGCTGTGGGTCCGCTGATGCTGGATGAGGTGAGAGAGCCGGCAGAAGCTTTTCCCGCACTCGTTACATTTGTGAGGCTTCTCCCCGGTGTGGATTGTCTGGTGCTGAATGAGGTGAGAGCTCCTCCCGAAGCTTTTCCCGCACTCGTTGCAGTCGTAGGGCCGCTCGCCAGTGTGTGTCCTCTGATGCTGGATCAGGTGGGAGCTGCGGCTGAAGCCCTTGCCACATTCGTAACACTTATAGGGTCTGTCTCCCGTGTGGGTTTTCTGGTGCCGATTGAGGTCTGAAATCTGACCGAAGGCCTTTCCACACTGCGAACATATGTGATAGCCGGTGTCTGCGTGGCCTTCTCTGTGGACAAGCAGGTCGGTGACCTGCTGGAGGGGGTAGCTGACCCACTCTTCTGCTGTCAGGTCTCCCCACTGTCTTTCGGACCTGTCCCCACTTTCAAAGGCCTCTTCGCTTTCAGGATTCTTCTCAGCATCCCCAATAGGCTCTTCAGACATGGTCACAAATTCTACGTCCTCACTAAGCTCTTCTTTCTGGTTTGCTTCATTCTCACTCCTGATCTCAAAATCTGTACAGAAGAGTGGATAACGTAGAGACCAGTCAGTGCACAAACGTATCTACTGTGTTCTAAGCACTCCCCTAAGGGGTTCTATTTATTCCCCCACTCAAGGTGCTGGAGAGTAAACCCAGGATTTTGGGCTTGGCATTTAAGTGCTCTACCAATCACCTACACCACGCCTAGCTCCAGTACCCAGTTCTCTTTCTTTTAGTTTTCTCTTTAGTTTATTTCAGCAGCAGGTAAGAATGCAAAAGTGGGAGGTAGGTGTATCATCCACAGGGGAGGGTGGGTTGAAATGTTGACACCCTAAATTCTTAACATGAATATATGTCAATTACCATGAAAGTCCATCTCCATAAAACTCATCATCTCCATAAAACTCAGAGAGGTGAAGTGGCTTTCGAAAGGTCATTTGCACATCCGTGTGCACACAGGTACATGTAAGACATCACACACACACTCACATGCACACATACCCCAGCACACACACACACACATACACACACACACACACACTCACATGCACACATACCCCAGCACACACACACACACACACACACACACACACACACACACACACACACACAACAAAGCAAGCAACAGAAAAGAAATCCAAGCTCAGCTTGGTGGCATATGCCTTTACTCCCAGCACTTGGGAAGCAGAGGCAGGGGGATCTCTGTGAGTTCAAGCCAGCCTGGTCTATAAACGAGTTCTAGGATAGCCAGGGTTGTTACACAGAGAAACCCTATCATGAAAAGAAAAAAAAATCCAAATATTTAATGATACATTAAAGGATCCAAGGGACCCTGAGATAGACAAACAAAAACACCTTGAAGAGCCTGACAGATGGCTCAGTGGTCCAGAGCACTTGCTGCTTTTGCAAGAAGACCTGAGCACAGTTCCCAACACCCAACATCAGGCAGCATACAAACTGTCTGTAACTCCAGTTTCAGGGGATCTGATGCCCTCTTCTGGCCTCCGTAGGCACCAGGTATGCACATGGTGCACAGACATTCATTCAGACAGAACGTCCATACACATTAGAAGGAGAAACAAAACCACAAAGTGCCTTGGAAACATTTCTTAACGCTCCCCTAAATTTATCTGGGTAAGCAACAAGGCTCTTGGTGATTCTATATAAGAAGTGCTCTTAGATAGTCTATTGGGATACAAGAGCATGTCTTTTTAAAAATGCTCCTTTCTGTCAGGTGATGGTAGCACACAACTTTAATCCCAGCACTTGGGAGGCAGAGGCAGG